CGTAATCCCAGAACCCCGGGAAGGCAAAAAAAAGTCGGAAGTGGGTTTCTATAGGGTACTATTAACGTAATACAAAAAATTCACAAAATATACAGACATCGACTGCAGATACTCGCCCGCAACAAATGGTCCACTTGGACTATGCAAGTACAAACGAAATGAGCAAGCAGGCTCCCACGTGGGACGGTCCCACGTGCATAAGGTCGATCGCAAGATGGCTGGATGACCTCAAGGTCAAACGAGCGAAGTGGTAAGAACAAACAAACGCCAGTTGCTCAAGCCTAGACAGAGGAAATCGAGAGGCAGAGGTCGGGTTCGAACCATGGACCTTCCGGTCAGTGAATTCTTACTCTGACCACTGAGCCCGTGGCATGCTGTGCGAGGGCGGGACTCTGACGAGTCTGGTGCCCCGATAAGAAAGTCACGCAGTCGCTTGCGCCGAATTGACCTGCATTCGAGAGCTCAATTACCAACTGCATGCATGATATGGCAATGAGTCTGTTTCCAAATGTCCAACCGATTGAAATGGCAAGTGAAGGACACGTGTGAAGCTAATTTTTTTCAAAGGTCGTGAAACCCTAAGCGCCCAAAGTCAGATGACAAAATAGGAAGACTCAAGCCAAGCACCGTGGTCTACGAGATTAAGAGTTTTGCTATCAGGTTAATCGCTACGTATTCGGCTGGTGTGCTTGGCTAGGCATGCGGTCAAACCATTTTCGGTGAAGCGGTGACCGGCCACATCACCACGGTTCACATAAGTCAGACTCGCGCTGATTTCGAGGGCTTCCGAACACACGCTTCGCTGATGACCTGAAGCCAGGTGTGTTCACCTCACCGAGTGCGGAGTCACGTCCGTGTTCTTCTAATTAAGAGGGGTCTTCGGGTCAGCACGGGGAACGGTGTTTGTGTTCAGGTATTTGAACCGCCAGCTGTCTGACGCTCTGACCGATGCATTCGGCCGGACGTCAGACGTACCGAAGTCCATGTGCACAGTTCGTGCAGTTTTGCGGAGTGGTGGGATCATCGACCCTTGCAAATACTATCCGGCGAGTACTGTCTGCTCGAAATAAACGGATACTGGAATTTTTTTTATGACATCACAGTTGCCAAGTCTTACTGTCCGATGCCATTCTTTCACCATTTCGTGAGGGTTGGTCTTGATAGTTTCGGTCTGACGAGCCGCTACCGATCTTGTGTTGCATTACCCAAGCTGCCGAGGATTGTCTTTTGACTCAATGTGCTTATGCAGACATCTATTTGAGTGTGCGCGGTTTCGATGGATGCCCACTGTAAACGGACGACTTGATTCAAAATCTTGTAAGTTAATAGTTCTCTGTCCACGTTCAGTATCCATAGGGCCGTGTGGTCGGGATGGCAACTTTGTTTAGGGGGGGGGGGGCTGACGTGGAGGCGAAACCATCGTCTACATACCGATGCGGCATAGGTGGGTGGTGGATAAAGTCACGTAGGCCTTTTGTCCTCATGTGGTGTAAGACAGCTAAGCAGTGAAGGGGATAGCCTTGATGAAAGACCGCTGTCATTAACCATTAGTTTGTCTCGTCCTGGTGACTCCGTTCAGGGCGGCGAAAGTTGTCGCCCCGAGTTGATTGGTTAGTATTTTCGCAGTTCGTTGCCAGTTCATAGCGTGTTCACCTCTCGGTCGCTTTCATTCAGCACAGGGCTAGTCAAAAAGAACTCTGTGAGGCAGACGGTCCTCTGGCATTCAAAGTATTTATCCTATGAAGCTTGAGTTCCTGTGCTGATCCGATGTTCCCACCACACCCGTCCAATGCTTCGGAGACCACTATGATCAAACTCACACAACGGCCACGTCTTTGATCCATAGAGTAGGACAGATCGAAATACAACAGTGGATACTCTACCTCTAGCAGTTAAGTTAATATCGCGTTTGCGTCGGAGGTTGGCAAGCACTGCCCTGGCTTTCCCTATTCAGGAAGTTATTTGTTTTTTTGCCAGTTCGTCTCGATGTATGCGGAGGCAGCAATAAACAAATGAAACGAATCTGCATATTTTGATTGTTTCTATTGACTCAGGGTGTCCGTCACCTATCTTGCTTTCTGGGCAGAGGATGGACTTGCCACAGGATACCAAGTTTCATCAACGGTTGACGATCCCACCCACACCGAAACAAAAGCCATCATCCATGCATCCGATTAAGCTATGCAGGTCGCACTTTCGCTACCATTTCAGCCTGCTGAAACGGGGTCATCCTGAGCTTAACTCGGCATTGAATTCACTATGGCCACAGAAGTGCTAGATTCTTAGACAGCAGACAGGCACTAAGTGCAAGTCGCACGTTGACAGTGCTCATCCATCAAAATCCCACACACTCGGGTGCATATTAGCAACGTGGCTCATCACATTCGCACAACGTGAAAAGGCAAATCATTAAGGGGCCGAATCAAGGATCTGATAACCGGAGGGAACGAACAAGGGAGAAAGATGATAGACGTGTGACATCGATCGGCATGTCTCCAATATAGCCGTGGCACTTGTGATGCCATTCGAAAAACCCAGAAATTCCTTTGTTTTGAGCAGATAGCACTCGCGAAAAATAGCTTGTAGGAGCGGAAGAGCCCATCACTCCACAGCGCCGTATGGACTGCATATACACGAATACATCGGTCAGACAGCCATGCAACTAACAGTTCAAACGGCTGAACAGAAAGGGCGTTCCCCGTTCTGACCAGAAGACTCAACGGAAATAGAAGAACACGGAAGTGACTCTGTCAGTGTTTTACTCTGGTTTCAGGTCGTCAGCGGACCCTGTGTGCTGAGGCCTTAGAAATTAACACATATCCGATTTTTGTCAATCGTGGTGATGAAACCAATCGGTTCTGGTGTGACCTAACCACATGTAGGGCTGGAATCTGAATGAACGCCTCTCATATACACGCTCGCTCATCGATATTATCGTGGTCCGTTAACACAGAAATGCACACACGATGGCTGGAACGGTGGCACGATAGCACTGTGTCCTAGCAATTCACTGACTCCCTTCCACATAGCGCCCAATCTTCCCATGATATCCCAACCACAGTGGATCAAATTTGTCTGAACAGTTGTTTTCTGTTGTAAGCAAACGTTTCAAGTTGAACCAGAAAAGCTCCTTGACATTTGCTTCGTGAAGAACCTCAATTTTTGGAAGCAAAACCCATGGAATCAGTTACATTAGAGAAGGTCAGTTCGGTTGAATTCAGTTTCGCAATCATAAACTTACACCAAGGGAGTGAGATGGCCCAAGTGGTTAGAGTGCGAATTTACTGACCGGAAGGTCCGTGGTTCGAACCCGAACTCTGCCACTCGACTTCCCCTGTCTAGGCTTGGGCGTCCTGCCAGTATCCCAGCCCTCGTGCTTCCTCCGGGTGGCATGGCAGCTAGGCACCGGAAGTATGTTATAGCTGGACGATTTTTTCATTTTTTTACCAGGGGTACAGCGACTCCAGTTGCTATGGTTTACGTTACTGAGAAATGGGGAATCGGAGAACTCATAGCCGGATACTGCAAACGACTGCCTCATCAGTAAACGGAGGATTTTGTGCATCGATGAAGCAGAAAATTGAGCAGGCGACGCAGGATCATTGACTGACTACCTGACCCAGTTCGGTCTGCTAGCGTCATTATGCATAGAGGAGTCCGGAGGTAGGTATCCGTTCAGAGAGAAGAGAGTTGTCAAAACGAATAAGTTTACTGGATAGTGTTCACGTACTTCGTTACCGGGCCACAGACCATTCGCCTCTCGATCAGCACTGGGCGAAAAAAAGCCCTGGGAGGGAGACGGTCCTCTGACAAAGGAAATAAATATCCTATCCGGCGGCAGGGACCTCATTCTCTCTTCATTTTCTTAGTATTGCTAACCCGATATTCCTACCAGATCCGATCAATGTTCCAGGGTGACTGGTCATCAAACGCCGAGTATTCGTGCATCCTCTGCGTGTGGAGCCCGTGTTTCTGATCTGCAAAGCAGTACTTACTCTGTGCTTCATAAACAAACTGAGGTCACGGCAGCACCGTAGGTGTCCGAGGAAGTCAGAGCATATGCTGGCCTTCCCGATTCAAGAAGTGATCCAGCCTGCAGCCAATCCACTGGAACTTATACAACTGCCTAGGTAGATAAATCTGTCCGCCGGGTCGATCGCCTGGTTTGGATTGATCCCGCCCAGTCTTGTAGACGTGGAGCGCATGTTAAGTCGTGCGGCAGATTTCGAAAGACTTGAATATTTAAAGGCTCTGGGTGGTCAAGCTCTGTGAGTGAACAGCCAGGAGCATTTCGGTCCCTGAGGTTTCACAGGTAAATACAAATAAAATAATCGTTCTGTTGTAGTACCTTTCGGGCGCCTAACTGCTATGTCACTCGAAGGAAGCACGAGGGCTGGGATACTGCCAATTTGCCCAAGCCTAGACAGGGAAACTCGAGAGGAAGAGGTCAGGTTCGAACCACAGACCTTCCGGTCAGCAAATTCGTGCTCTAACCACTCAGGCCATCTCGCCTCAGGTAAATAAAGAGGTCTCAAGTAGTACGGCAACAGCAAAATCAAGGTGGAATGGTGAAAAAGGGTAGCCTTATCTTACATCGTGTGGTAAACTGAGGCAGCAACCTGGGGTATGCCCACAAAAGGTCGCATACAGTGCCGTCATAAGAGGTAACAACCTAGAGGGGACGCGTCTGTTTGAGGTTTTTAAACTGCACCGGAAAAAATGTGCCACACAGTTCGCTGATTGGACGCGAATCAGGGTTGACCGACGTGCGTGTGTGCGATTTCGATGCCTAACCCGTGCGTGATTGAATTTCAATATCGGGTGAACGGATTAGTTATGATCGTCTGTTGAGGTCTTCTACTTCCGGAGAAGCACAAATTCAAAACTGAACCGATCGAGAGTAAAGCCTAGTGATTACTTACTTGCATCAGCAGTAGACCGGTGATAAATCCAGACCCTTGACAATAGCCAACCTCCCGATCGTGAACCGAATAGGCTTTGATCACACGGAATAGGCGTTCTTGTCCAGAGCCGTTCTGTAGAAAGTTAAAAAGTAGGCTATTCAGATGGGAACTAAAAACAGTTTAAGTAGGCGAAGGGTTCGTTTAAAACTAACCACAAATGTCAGTGAAGGTCCGGAAAGCACTACAAACGTGTGAATGAATGAGCTCAAACAATAGAAAACGTTGTCCTACATCGGCCCATTAAGATAGCTCCTATTCGGTGTGGATAGAACTGCTCTATCCCTTTGATAGAGCTCTTATTGGACCTCTTCGATACGTACATTCTCGATAGTTCTAGAGTTTGAATCCCGGCCAGCTGATCAAGAGCTTGATCGGTACAAGCGATCCACTGTAACGTCTTTTCGGTGTCTAGCTGTCATGCCACGAGGGCTGGGATACTGCCAGGTTGCCCAACCCTAGACAGGGGAAGTCGAGTGGCAGAGGTCGGGTTCAAACCACGGACTTTCCGGTCAGCAAATTCGCGCTCTAACCACTTGAGTCATCTCGTCCCACAACAAAGATAGCTGTTAGGTAAGGGTTCAAAGTGTCGGACAAGTGACACAGATGCGTGACTCAACTTCCACCAAGGTTATTCATTCAGGTCCGATAATTCAAGTACATCCAGCCCTAAGCTGGTGAAGTCAGGGTCAAACAGGTTGGCCTTGTAGATGCAGTTTCAACCTATATTTGACTGGAGCTACGCTTATTACAACTCGTTATTGAAGAAAGACGGGAGGAAAGTTCGAACGGAAGTGGTGCACTAAATACACGAGGTCTTTCATAATCATTTGGTACACAGTGCACAGCGTGGAAAAGGCCGATAATGGATTCAACGCGGCAGTCAAGTCAATCCGAGGAGAACTATCCAGAAAATTGACACTGCCACATTACCGTCGAATGCTAGGCAAAGCAGAGTTTTTAGGAAACTAATCACAATCGACATGTCATATGTACTAGTGATATGTACTAGGGCGAGATGGACCAAGTGGTTAGAGCGCGAATTTACTGACCGGAAAGTATGTGGTTCGAACCCGACCTCTGTCTTTCGACTTCCCCTGTCTAGGCTTGGGCAAACTGGCAGTATCCCAGCCCTCGTGCTTCCTCCGGGTGGCATGGCAGCTAGGCACCAAAAGGTTCCTACAGCCGAACGATTTTTTATGTACTAGTCAAGGCTTCAATATGTGCCCCGACAGGACGTTGACCAAGGGACATCACCAGAAGTACCAGAGATTCCTTGACAGACAGACGCATTTTACAACGGCATGTCAATCGAACGATGACCAGACACGTTCGAAGTCAACTTCACGGTCACCATGATCTGAGTCTTCCGCCTGTTGGACAGACACAGGTCAAAACGATAAAAACCGCAGAGGAAAGCAGTAGCAGCGGACTGTATGGAAGCTTCGACGATCACCATTCAACAAAGTGGACTTAGACTAACGAGAATGTGTGGTAGTGAAAAATACCATCTGGTGACTCATTTTGAAGTTGATCGTAAGAGTTCACAAAGCTCACGATAGCTCGGCGATTAAGGTGCGAAAGTATTGACCGGAAGGTTCGTGGTTCGAACAAGATCCTGGGTTTTTGACTGCTCCTGTCAGGACTTGGGCAATCTCAGCCCTCGTACTACAATCGATTTGCCTGACATTGGAAAGGATGCCAGAACCAAACAATTTTTATTGCCATTATCTGTTGAAAGCGAACCTAAATGCCACGGCGAGCGGAACTCATACTGTGGATTCTTCAACACCATCTTGCACGATTCAAAGACTTGACCTGTGCATTGCATTCGTCACATGGAAACGCAGGCCATGGATGGCCATTTGAGGAGCAAATCATCGCAGGATATCAAGGTCCAGTCTCATTTCTGCAACGTGAATCAATACTTGGGGTTCCAAACTGACAATAGACCATCATTTTTATGAAATTACCGAAAGCATATTGACCAGCATGCGACGCTTAAACAGCCCGAGATGTGGGCAGTTGAACAAGCAAGTGTTGGTACAGCGTCACTTAGGTAAGAAAAACAACAATACGGGTTCACGACATCGGCGTACACTATCGAACATGAAGTGTGAATCAGAGCGGAATGGTCAAAGCTGATGGAGACTGTGGTGGATGTTAGCAGAGTTGCTTCAGCAGTTGTCCAGTTAGCGAAGCGTAACAATCGGCCTGACGCATAGAACACGAGATGCAAGGAGGGTGCGTTTGGTACCATAAGCTGTCAGGTAAAATCAGTGCGTCAAAGGGAACTACCGTTCATCTGTAACATCCTTTCGGGGCCATCCACCCGAGGAAAGCCAGGTTGCCCAAGCCTAGACAGGGAAAGTGGAGAGGCAGAGCTAGGGATTCGAATCCAAGAATCTTCCGGTCAGTAATTCGCGCTCTAACCACTGGGTCATCTCACCCAAAAAGGACTCCCCAGGCTCAAAGTAAGATGAGCTAGGACGAACTCAAATCATTGCCTTCCGCACAGTACCTGAATGTGAATGCTTAGACAAACGCTGTCAGAGAGTCTAACGTTAGTAGCACAGTGTCGGTGAGTCGACACTGACAGGTTGAAAAAAAAACAATTCCGAAGGACAGGTTTTTGTTTTGTTTTGTATTCATATCGTGTAACGAGACATGACCCCTGTGAGTAGCGGAGATAGGACGTCCTCTTCGACAGTTGTCGTCTAAGGGATGCAGCTCGCGAACCCACAGAAACAACCAGCAAACGAGTGTTCGGTTGTGCGCTATGGACCTCAACAAAAGCACTACACCATCACCAGAGGCTCCAGAATCACACCCGATAAAAAGAGTGCTTTATTCCATGCCTTTCAATTTTTCTTCACAATGTGACTTTCACACCCATTAAGAGTGTTCGGTAGCCACACATCAGTGCTCAGCACTGACGACATGCTAGTGATTACCATGATTATTACGTGTCATCATATGAAAGCCCGATGTATCGACCACCGCCTATCAATTGAACCTATCAGATAATTAAGGAGACGAAGAGGAATCAAAAAACCAAACAGGACCATTGAGGTGGGATGAAACAGTGATTGGAATGACGAAAATTGAGTCGGGTGATTAGATTGACGAGCCTGAATCAAGCAGGTTCCCTATTGGGTCATCTCCACAATGCAGCTACCAGAACGGACGGACTAAGATGAACAGCGGAGGGCTTGACAGCATGCTCAGCTGATGAGCCACAAAGCAACTGGGCTCGAATCCAATCCTGGCCCTTCGATCGATCCTGTCTCTAGGCTTGGAAAACGTTACGCTTTGTACTTCCTTACGGTTATATGACATCTGTGAACCAAAAGGACATTACAGTTGAGAAATTCTTCTTTACCGGCTTTGTCGGTTGGGGGAGAACCGTGCTTAAGATTCACAATCGATCGTCACAACCAGGACAGTTACTGGGTCGTCGTTCGATAAGTCGGGCACACCAATCACGTCACTCAAATGTGAACACGTCCGCCTGTTCAGACGCGAAAATTCAGATGCGTCCAACCTGCGTTGGTGGAGTAATGGCTATACGCATGTCAGATGTGTGGGGTTCAAACCCCAGCACGGCCATTGGATATGCACTGCTGATGAGCCCTAATGAGAGCGAAACTCGAGTCCAGTGCTTCCCTCTGGTGTGGACTCACCGGAATAATCAGTCCAGACCAGGAGGACGACCGTACAAACGAGAGTGGTGTGACTATGGACAAAATACCCATCCCGCAAAACCCCAAAATTGCAATCACAAAGAAAAGTTTGTGCGCGGGGAACACAAAACGCAGCTCTGCTTGACTGTTGTTATAATTGCCGAATGATGTACGAGTTGGACGTTAATGCAAACAAACGCACAGGCTATTTCACAAGCTACGATATTCGGAAGCAGACAACCTGACTGATTAAACCTTCCTACTCATATAGTAGTACAAATTACTAGCATACACAACGGTTGCAATCGTCCTGGTGTAACGGTGATACTACTGATGGGGGAGGCATGCGAGTAGTATGGTTTCTCGTAAATCCGCTTTGCGTCTCTTGAAAAGTGACATCTATTGCGGAAGTTGTGGAGTCGCCTTGTAGCATTTGTTTGGATTTGAGCAACAGTCTTTGAATATCTAGGAAAGTTCAGGGAGACGCGTTCAAAGAGAATATGGATATTCAGTTTCTGTAAACAAGATGCATATAAGAGTTTTGCTTCTCTGTCCAGTAGGCTGTAACTGCCCAATTGACGTTTCTATGATAAGCGAATTCGCAACGAAGGCCTTCTTCCTTTTACTGGTGTATAGGGATTCGTCGAAATTGGGAAAACGCAGTAAAAAACAGTTCAGTTTTAAGTTGTTCTAGATAATCGGGCGATGAGAACAGTGGTCGGTTTGTCTGACCCAAGGCATCCTCAAAATGCGCTTCTATTATCAATTTGCTAGATACAGATTCAAGAACGCATTATTACGAGTGAGATATTGTCGGAGGCCGTAAAGGAAGCTTGAATTGCTTTTTTAGACAATAACTGAGGCGATGTGGCTCAGTGGTTAGAGCGCGAATTTACTGATCAGAAGGTCCGTGGTTCGAACCCGACCTCTGCCTCTCGACTTCCCCTGTCTAGGCTTGGGCGACCAAACAGTATCCCAATCCCCGTGTTTCCTTCGGGTGGCAAGGCAGCCATGCACCGCTACAGCTGAATGACGATTGATTGATTAATTGATTAGTTGACTGACTTGAATTCCGATTGACACGGGTAGGTTATACGTTTGAGCTTCTCCACAGTACCGTGCTGCACGCGTCGGTAGGCTTTTTGAGGTGACTGGATTTAGCCAAATAAAACGTTATTTCTTATGGATGTTAAGAACAGCGCCTGAACCACTTTCTCGGTGAGTACTTCTTCATCGATGTTAATCACGGAACTCATGTTTATCCGATAGAACGACACTCAATATGTCGAAATACGGGTGGATGTACTGATGGTTGATTAAATGGCCATTGATTTGCTCGCCGAGCTTGGCAATCGGCTTGCAAGCGTCTCGTCGTCAGCAGAGGAGACATCGTCGGTGCGCACAGTCCAAGCCAATTACCTTGCTCGGAGGACAGATCAACGGCCATCTGATCGACCACCAGAACGACACCCGCATCGAATTCCTCGCTCAAGTTGGACACCCGTCGTTACCGTCTCTTTGACCGTTCCGGCCAATTCAATGTTGACTACGTTGATCACGGACATGTAATCGAACTGTTCATTGTTCTCACTGAGTTGTCGGCACGGTGTACAACTATTCTTCGAGTCAGTTGCGGGAATTCCGGTGGTTCACTACACATGATCTTAGCTCATAGAGCCGAGAAGCGATGGCTCAAGTGGTTAGAGCGCGAATTTACTGACCAGAGGGTTCGTGGTTCGAACGCGACCTCTGCCTTTCGACTTGTCCTGTCTAGGCTTGGGCGACCTGGCAGTATCCCAGTCCTCGTGCGTCCTTCAGATGGCACGGCAGCTAGGCACCGAAAGGGTGTTCCAGCTGAACAATTCTGATGGTTTGATGCTATAGTGAACAAACTATCGGTTGGGTTGATTACAACCCAGAGTTGCAACGGCATTTTCGTGAATCAATGAGAACCGGCCCACGCATCGCTATCCGCCGATTCAGTAAGACTCAATAACTGGACCGGGCGGGTGATGAATCAGTGAAATTCTAGTGAACGATCTTCTGAGACAGGAACAGATACTTTACACCGCCGGTCAGATACCTGAGTCAGTAGACAGCACTTCATTAATTGATACAAACCACGCGACTGAGCCGGCGCAATGTTGATGAGCCAACAGAAAATAATGAAATCGTCCAGCTGTAACACCCTATGGGTGACTAGCTCCCATGCCACCCGAAAGAAGCACGAGAGGTGGGACACTGCCAGGTTTTCCAAGCCTAGACAGGACAAGTCGAGAGGCAGACGTCACGTTCGGACCTCCTAACCACTGAACCATCTGATCAACAGCAGGTGCACGGTAAACTCATCCATCGCATGCCCGCAATCCTCTCAGGTATACGCCAACAATGCTCGGCAAGAATGGAACAGCATCCACAGGATTCAGTGGTCGAGTGGAATCCAGACTGAAATTCGAATGGTATCATCGGACCAACATTTACTGACCACAGTTCCGCACATCTGACAAGCTGGGCGAGCGTCAATCGGGGACGATAAACCCTCGGCGAGGCTGAAGAACTCGCATGAGATGCATCTAGGTGGAACAGATTGATCAATTGGCTCAACGGACCCGCGCATTCTTCTATCTTGAACATCGCATTCGGTTGGGTGAAAGCTCTGCGACGACGAGAACATTGCTCAACCAAAAACCCTGAGTCAATGCACAGAATGTTTTGACAAAAGCTTATTTAAACCGAGATCCCCTTCACAGGATACCAACACAATAGGTTTCATTTGTCTGGGATATTTGATTCTAAATGACTCTGTTACGTAACACAGCTTACAGTTGGTTAGAAAAAACAGGGCTGAGAAATCACTTTGCACAGCCTACCTCATCCTTGAAAAGTTCGTGTTTCGGAAACGTGCGAGCAATGTCTCGACGGATGGCATTCTCCACCGGGGACTCTACTTCAAGGTAGCCATCGTACAATTTCCTGGCAGTGGAATCGTAGGCACCGGTGTACAATCGCCAGACGAGAGGACGAAATTCATCCGGTAGGCCTTTACGAATAAGGTCCTGGAGAGAAGAAAGCCACGGTGAAACCGAGAAAACGTGAGAGCACTTGCGTAACTACGCGATGTCAGTTAAAGAACAACTAACGCCAAGATGTCTCGGCGTATGATCAATGCCAGCTGACGGAAATAGTAATAAATTGAGCAATGCCAAGAGTGGAAAATGCTGACAGAAATTTCAAGCCATTACACAAGCTATCATCGTTCAGCTATACAGGTGCCTAGCTGCCATACCACCGGAAGCCAGGGGGCTGAGATACTGCCAGATTGTCCAAACCTAGACAGCAGCAGTCGAAATGAAGAGGTTGGGTTCGAACCACGGAACCTCCGGTCAGCAGGTACGCACTTCAGTCACTGAGATACCCCGAGCTCATGAGCTAAAATTGGCCAAACAAAACAGAGAATTGAAAACCGCGATCATGCGACTGGTTGTCGAAAAAATATCAATCAGCCGAGTGAGAACTTCATCTCACCAACGGACATCCTCCGCATAAAAAACGAGCTTTCTGTTTAACACTCAATCAGGATCTAAGTCGATGTTGGACATGAATGTTCTATAAACCAACTGACACAGAATGTGCTACGTTGAACGGACTACATGCAAACCGATAAAGGTAACTGTTGCTCACGATGAACATCTGTCTCAAGGTGTTCAACTGAGACTGGCAGTGCTTAGTCTTACAGTTCAACCCAACAATTCATGAGACCAACTACCGACTCTCTACTCCTTTAGGATCCCCCCAAAAACATGACAGATTTCACTAAATCATAATTTATTTTGCTTAAAAGTCATCGCCTAAAAATGTAACTCATCAGTAGTTGAACCATGATATATCGTGATGTATGGATACTTTGAACCAACAAAAAGCCATAACGGCTGATGCAAACAGATGAAGGCAAACAAAAAACGGTGGTAATTTTTTTTCACGGAAACACCAAGTTTATCTTTCTCAAGGTAGCCATGGCGACGCTTCTGGACGCCTAGCGATTACGGTTACCACCTGGGGCATTAAATCATTGGTTTTTGGGAAACTCCCGTCTGGAAAACAGCCTCATTACCGAACAAACTGGTACTGACACAGGTACCAACTGGCCTGGGAATCTAGTGACGCTCAAAAGACCAACTGAGAGCAGTCGGGGGGAACACAAGTGCACAGACAAACTCGATTTCCTAAGGTTGAACGAAAGTCCATATTAGTAATACCGATGTAGGTGTGGTGATAAGACGCAGTTGCCTGGCAGTTTCTGTCACCTTGCTAATCTGGTTCTCCCCCAAACATATTAGCGGTCGCCTGGTTGGTAAAGAAGAATCCAGCCTCCGATGTGCGGATGGGAAAACTGGCTGATTGGATTATGTGACTTTTCGAAAGGACCTGCTGCTTACACATTCTCCGGCTTGCCCCGTGTGTCCCATTCAGATTTCTACGGGGGGGAGGGGAATATGCAAGTGAGTGGGGAAAGGTTTCACCCGGCATTTCGGATGACTATCCTGAGCGGCGTAAGAAGACACTGTAGGCTAATTCCAGAGGGGAGTCAATTGAATACTCAGCTGTACCAGGCCGAAATCCCGCAGGATTGTATACTTGGATTGAAGCTCCGTAGTTCAAGTCCGGGTAAGTAAGTTTCTGAAAAGACTAAGGGGCCGGAACAGCTGTTCACCGCTTCGCTGATTGAGGCTGACTAAAACCCCACGCCAAAAAACCCAAGTGCACTTCCTTCATACAAGAGCGCTGATAATGTCGATGAAAACTCTAGACAACCAGTGACGAGTATCGGTTCCCTGTCAAGAACACATAGAGAGAACCAAAAATTAGTCTCAAAATAGGGAGAGTACACCATACGAAGAAAGACATCGGGGTTTTATGATGCGTTTACTAGTGGGTCCCCAATAAACCGACGAAAATTCACTTATTGGTCCATAATCCGCATGTAGCCAATCGCATAAGCTATTTCGACCATGTATAGATAATAAAGTAATCGTTCAGCTGTAACATCCTTTCGGTGCCTAACTGCTATGCCACCATATGGAAGCACGAGGGCTCGGATGCTGCCCGGTTGCCCGAGCCTAGACACGGGAAGTCGAGACGTAGAGGTCGGGTTCAAATGGCGGACCCTAAGGTCAGCAAATTCGCGCTCTAATTACTGAGCCATCTCCAGTAACCAAATAAATTACTCATACCAGGGGCAGGATAGATCCAAGAGCCCGAACTGACACTACTGTCTGGTGTGTCTTGATGGACGGTAGTGCAACTCTGTATCGGTCCCTTGGCTTCCTACTCCGCCCACTACGGTATATCAAAAGGCACGGTAGCTCTACATAGCTTTTTACGGAGACAGGGAAATTATTACAACTGTATTTATAGGGCAGTCACAGTGTTCCACAAGGTCGTGTCAGAATCACCGTGAGGGGGCGAGAAGCGTCGAGTCAAAGATGCTCTATCCGGATTGGCTGGCATTTTGACCAATTAGAGCATGCCTTCGTTTGGTCCGTGTCCTGCACGTGACACATCCGTCCCGTCCAGATGATGTTCGGCTATAAGGAACGGCTGGCCTCCGTACAATGTCAGAAGTCCTAACCTAATGAACGGAAACCGCTGAACAATTCAAATTTAACATTACTCCCAAAAGAGATTAACCGAAGAAAAAGTAAGGTGACGAACTTTCTAGAGATTAACCTCTCTTCGAAGACCTGTCCATGGGAATAACCTAATCTCCAGGGAAGCACATCGCCTAGTTGTCACGTGCAAGTCTGACCACCAAATCTAGCAAAAAGTCCACGTTGTGAATAACAAACACTGTGAGACGCAATTACCCCTGTTTCATTAAATGGACAGACAACGACAAATTAGGAAGGCAAAGGGAAGAAACACGCGTACCGCGACGAAAGATCGCTTTTTGCTGAACTGATCCCAGTTTTTAACAACACATCCCCATTGTTCCAAAAGGCTAGTGGATGGCGGGAGGACATTGTTTACCCACAGCATACCCACAGAGAGTGGACCTGATCGAGTGGAAACAGATGTAGAATCATCTGATGGACGAGCTGTGAAAGGGAGAGATAGATTGCGTTGGATTAAAGCACATGTATTGTGTGGGAAAACGTGGGGGACTGGATACAAGAGTAACAGAGAAAACTGCATAAAAAGGCTGTCTCGATACAGGAAATGACGTTAGACATTGCTCCCCGTTAGAACTGCCTTCAGCTGTGGCACCCTTTCGGTACCTAGCATGCCACCGGAAGGAAACATGAGGGCTGGGATACTGCCAGGTTGCCAAAGCCTAGACATGGAAAGTCGAGAGGTAGAGATCGGTTTCGAACCCTGGGCCTCTAACCATTGAGCCATCTCGCCTCCCATAGAAGTGAAATGAATTTCACTGCGGTATGAAGTACGGCAAATCTCTCATAAAGGACCCGAGTATTCCAATGTCGTACAGCATAGAGCAACTCTGCACGAACTAAAACCTAAGAAGAAGTGATACCAGAAGGGGTCACGCAAGTTGGGTGTAGTCGACGAAAAAACAGCTGTTCAGGAATTATGAGTAACTGAATCTCCGGAACAAGCGCAAAAATAAGCCATTGTTAAAGGAATCCAAAAATTATTCGGCAGCCCTAGTTAACGCAACCTCCGGTAGGATGACCTACGAACTGCTACGCAGACTGAACTAATTGCGAACACTCAAGTTGCTTAACCAAGTAATCAGCTGATAATTACATTCCACACTCCATCAAATCACATCCGATGGCCACATAGGCGTCTTGGTTCCTGGTTTCCGGACCTGCAGCAGACAATGACTTGGCTGTTATCTAATAAAACCAATCAACAATCGTTGCGTTGTGAGTAGGCGGGCGAGATGCCTCAGTGGTTGGAGCGCGAATGTACTAACCGGAAGCTCCGTAGTTTGAACTCGACCTCTGCCTCTCGTTTTCCCCTGTCTAGGCTTCGGCAACCTGGCAGTATCCAAGTCCTCGTGCTTCCAACGGGTGGCACGGCACCTAGGAACTAAAATGGTACTACAGCTAGACGATTTTTCTGCTGTGACATCCTTTCGGTGCCTAGATGGCTCGACGGCTAAGATGCTGCCAGGTTGTCCAAGCTTAGACAAAAGCAGTCGATAGGATGAAGTTCTGTTTGAACTCCGGACCTTCCGATCAGTAAGTTGGTGCCATAACCACTGGGCTATCTCGAGCTCTTGGCAGTCCTCTGACCTCAAAACAACCGCAGAAGTTTAAAAAAATCAAGTAGTCTTATTAACGTGTCCTTTATCAGAGGTTTTCATACGTCTGTTTACTTCCTACTCCCATCTGATTTTCGAATAGGCCTATAAAGACTATAAGCGAAACTGTGGCGCAATACTGTAAAGCAAACTGAGTACAGGCAACGCAACAGTACAGGTCACAACATCTGAACCACTCAGTTAAGTTCCCGGATCAGTGGGTAGTCCATGGTGCGAAAAAAAATATTTAAAAAATGACGGGATATGCAAGACCTGTCACGAATCGTAAGCTGCCTCCGTCACAATTAGCCATTTTGACAAAATGAGGATCAGTTCGGATGAACGAACAAGTCAAAAAGCTGTCACCCTTGCCTTTTGAATTTCTTTATTTGTTCAAACCAACGGTTTGAGATGTCTGGTGAGAGCTGTGTAAAAGTTTGAGCATAGCCTTGGTGGATGCCTCCTCAGTTATAAAGGTCAAGGTACAATCTGGCAGTCTGGTCCAATCAAAAGGTTAGTATTATTATGCATCCGGACGACTGTCTGCACAAAAACATGAGTTGAAACTCTCAGTCCGAAAGTTTGCGACTGTAGCTGCGCATCCCGAACTAAAACTGACGCCTTGATGTGGTGTTAGGGCTTGAGTGCTGCAATAACCACACAGGCTATACTTGCTAGGACTTCGTTCCACAAGATGCAACCATGCCAGGAAAGCCAAAGAGGAGCAGCCGAACCGAGCAGCGAGACCCCGTACTACGAGTAATCGGGTAAAGCCGTACTGTCCTGTGCGACAGGAATGTGAAGATAGTAAGGTGTTTCCCCCAGACGGCCAGAATGTCTACATTCATGGGAGCAGCGATGCTGACTTCCCCCGAGAAACGACGGGTTAGAAAAGATCGTCCCTAAAAACCGCACACTCCGATCGCCCAACGTGACCGCCGGCGCATTATTTGATATGGTCGAAATATTGTTAAAACCAGAGATTCCGGTGCTGCCCAAAAGGCACCTGCTGTGCGCAGCTGCATTAAGAGTGAGACACTAATACCCCACTGCCTGCGCCCTCGGGATAGGCCAACTCCCTGCAGTCGAACAGGTCAAACCATTGAATCATCGGCTCCCGGCAGGGTCCCTCAAGAAAGCCTTACTGTCCGCTGCTTCGTGGGCCAGACCTTTAAGGGACTGAGGCCAGGGTTCCCGAACAAAATCCTACATCTTTCCGGTGCCTCGTGGGTCAGACTTTCGAGTCAAAGGCTCAAGGTGAGGTATCTCAACCGAACCCCACTCCTCGGTCTGGACAACCCGGAACTATTATTTCCCCACGCAGTTCGATGTCCACCAATGCCCCTCCCCAACCCCCCCCCCACACACACACAAGTAAGCGTCATTGGGCCACTTAACTGTCAACATCCGTACTCTACGTCTAATCGGCAAACAGGCAATGCTTGCTGAGACCTTGTACTCCCTTAAAACTGATGTATGCTGTCTCCGAAACACGCATACAAGCCCCAAGCGTGGTTATACATCCCCCATGTGTACGGTGATCCAGAAGCGATGCCTCGTGGAATATATGGTATGGGAGTTACACTCGGTCCGAGCTGAACGCGCTTCGCTGTTTTGAAACCCAGTGGACACTCGCCTTTGCGCCGTCGGGTTATCCATCTCAATCAAGCTAAACGCTTATCGGTATAAAAAGCGGTGCGTTTGTAATGTCAGCTTATGCCCCGACGAACTGTAGTTCTGACGCTGGGGAGACTTTCTATCGAAAGTTATTCGGGCTCATTCGTCAAGCAAGAAGCACTGAGAGAGTGATACGGACAGGCGACATGAATGCGCAAGTTTGTCGCCTGAGCTTTTAGGAATCACATTACGGTGTTCGATTCGGAGTCGACGCTCGTCGCACGGACAACGGAGAGCGACTCCTACAATTGTGTGCTGTTCATCAGCTAATGTGAACTTTCAGCATAAACGTTCTCACTGCGTAACCTGGCAGCCACCAACTGCTAACAAGCGTGGACCCAGGTGGATTACGTGGCCATCAGCCAATCTAGCCTTTTGGGAACTCGAGAAAGGGGTGTGAATGGTCCGGAGCTTACGGATGGAGAGCAAGCTGCACGTTTACAAGACTGTTAGCGGTTGAAAACTGACAATTTACCGGGGCAGACTCCGATACTTAAACAGCTTCCGAACACACTGTCTCAGGTTGCTAGTTGGTTTTACTGAACTGAATCAGTGCCGGACACGAAAATCATCCAACGACCAGGTTAGCATGGAATTAAGGACTACACTCACATTCAACTGTCTACCTGTCACGAAGAGACTGGACCTTACCGTACCTGTCACGGACTGGACCTTACCGTGGTGTGGCAGTTTGTGTACCTCGGCGACCCATTGAGCTATACTGGGGAGTTCCGCACGATGCTCGCTCACTCTCTCATACCAGGATGGTCCATGGGTAGAGGTCTGACGAACACAGTCTCCTGGCTCTCCAGGCTGGGGGTTGGAACATGTGGCGACTTATTCCGTAGAAATGGTAATGCATTTGCATTTCCCGCCAAACACCGCTGCCTTGTGGTTAGGATTTTGAGCCAAAGGCTTTGGTTGAGGACCCTAATCGTCCTCCTGTCTAGGTGTGGGCGCCCTGGCAGTATACCAGC